TTTGTGCTATTATTCCTACTCTTTATTGAGTACTTCATACCTCTAGTTGGCTCTGACCACTCAGCAAATGCCATTGTGACTGAAAAATATTCCTTAGTGTATGCGAACGACATTTGCGGTCGTAATTATCCAACGAGCCGTTTATGAAGATGTCGACTGAGTTTTAGTGGAAGAATAACTTTGAAAAGAAAGCTCTTATTTTTCTAAGTATTGCACCCAATTGTAATAACAGTTACGACCCGTTTTTAGAATTTATGAGACAATTTTGGCAGCTATTTCCCTCCTCCCTTCACCTATGGCTGTTGTCGAAACTGAATTCTGCAGATATAGAAGAAAGACCGACTTAGATTGTTTAATAAAGTCGTTTGAATATCTTTTAAGCTTCTTAAAATTATCTAAATGTAGGAAATCTTTGAGCCGGTCCCTCCTCTTTGGCGTTTTTCCTTCGAAAAGAAATTCTAGCTGTCTGCGGCATTTGGGAAGAACTCCGAAAAGTGTAAAAAAAAACCTAAGCAGAAAACACAATCGAAACACAATGTCTTGATTTCTCCCCAATTTTTCCTATTTCTTTACTCTCTTTCTTATCCAGACATTTTTCTTATCTCGAAATGATCGTTGTTGCAGGTCTCGTTCTAATACTGGTGTGCGTAGCTGCAAGTATCGGTTATGTCTATGCGATTACTTTTCACAAAAGCTATCCAGCAGTTCTTGTTGGAAATTTTGCTTTCGTGTAAGCTAATTTCATAAAGAAAAATTTGTTCAAACCATATAAGCACATCTTTTCTCATGTTTCGCAATTTTCAGCAAAATGTTTGACTTCTTTTCTGATTACTACGAGAAACCATGGACACGATGTCCTCCTTATCTGATTGGGATCGCGGTCGGATATTTCCTTGCCAGCGGAAAAAAACCGAGACTTACCAGGGTAACTTCATTTCCATAGTGTGGCTAAAGAATAGCATAAGTTATGATTTGTAGATGGTTCAAACATCTTTATGGATAGTTGCAACTGCTGTTGCATTAGCAGCGCTATATGGTCCTCATCGTTACATTAAAGGAGCTGATGATTGGAGGTAGTTTCATATTTTCAATTTCCTAGGTTTGCAGATTAAAATCCACCAGAAGGAATATACGTTGTTTACCTAAAATAAATAGAAATTAGCAATAACCCTGCAACAATTTTTTTTTGAAATTTCTATTTATTTCAGTGAGGCTATTCGCGGGACGTATAACAACTTCTCAAGAGTAGGATGGGCACTGGCAGTGTCTTGGGTTATTGTCGCTAACCATCTAGGATGGGGAGGTATGCAGCAAAATAAATCCTTAAGCATTTAGGCTCATAATTTATTTAGGAATTGTTGCTCAATTTATGGAGAATCCTCTATGGCAACCGTTGGGCAGATTGTCCTACTGTGCTTACATTGTGCACTTTTTCGTCATTCGCTATATATTCAATTTAGACGACCGGCCACTACATTTCGTCTCCGTCTGGCATACGGTAGGTTTCAAAAGAGATCCTCTAAATGAAATTTTTCCTAAAAATTATTTACAGTACATCTACCGGGTCATGCCTGTCGTAGTTGTTTCCTATGTGCTCGGATTCTTTTGGAGCTGTTTATTTGAACTACCCGTGGCGAAGCTGGAAAAGATACTTACTGAGCGCTTTTTGCCTAGGAAAAAGATGGACGACGTAGGACCAAAACCTGATGAAAATGGCAAAAAAGGAGAGATTTGGAATATACAGATTGGAGAAAAAGTATAGGAATAGCAAACATTATTTCATAATATGTCTTGTATTTTTTAAAGTTCAAATAAACATTCCTCATAATTGTTGCATTTTAACATTTCAAAAACTTTGCATTTTGATTCTTTTCTCAAATCATAAGGGGAATTCTTCGAATGCTTCGCAAGTGTTGATATATATTGGAGATATTTTAAGCTTATATTTAAGGCCTGCCCTGTCATTCTAATTCCAAATGCAATACCGATCTACCTCTGACGTAACTCTTGTAACAAGTGTTTTGAGGCATATTTTAACGTGCATCTCCTTTCAAATGTCCAAGTCATCTTTTTTTCTAAGGCCAGAATGAAACTGCAACGGGAGGATTTGGGATTCGCAGAGCACAAAAACAAGAATAGAACTCCAAACTGAAACTTCGCCCTGAGCATAAGTTTGATTGGATCATGAACACGTCGACGGTAACTACATATCCAAGCGCTTTGAGAGTTCCGGTGCTAAGAATAGCTACCGTACAACCTTGACAGTTCTCTCTCGATGTATGACTGGATCGCAAGTTGAAAGACAAAGTTGTTGATCTGTGCGCCCGTGATGTAAGCGTGTCAGCGAGAGTTCTGTCGGTTGTCGATCACGTGGCTGAGCATTGTCAAATAAAAACTGATAGTTTTCTCACTATCATCGGCTTACTTTATATTGAGTTCCTTGATTCAGTAACCTCAATGAATCATATGTAACAATTGCTATCTGGCTTTGTTGACTAGGGAAAAAGAGGTGTCGCCAGGAATACAATCCTCTGCTAGAAATAGGAAAAAAAAGTTTCCTCATAATAGATCCTGGTCATCTTTCGTAGAGATGATTGAAGAAAAGTCGGCTATCCTGTGATAGCTTATAAGATTTCCTTGTAACACAGAAAAAAATCAATATAGGGTCCCTGTAATCTTAAAAGGACGACGTTATTGAA